CCACCCTCTGCAGATTTGACCTCCATCTCTATTTAAGCTTAGCTCAGGGAGCTTGACCTTTGCTAGAGCATTATGGTTTCCAGTTTAGCAGGCATTGTGCACACCTATAGAATCTTTTCATGGTGACCTAGGCTTTGCTAATGGATCTCCCTAGCCATTGCTGAACCTGATCCTGAGCAGGTTGTTGACTACTTCTGTATTGACCTGTTTTGTTCTTGGACCTGCCTCCTCATCACCAGCTTTCCTGATGCTCTGGAGTCTTGGCTGAACTTGGCCCAGGTCTCTGTTCCTGCCATATTTCTGTAGTTCAGGTACTGTGGAATGGTCTCTGGAAAGGTGTCCCCTTTGTCTTTGTTTAAAGAGATGAATGAGACCAGCCCTGTGGCAGTCCCCAGGCTCCTGCAGAGTAGAACCCATCATCCTTTGCACCCAACAGTGCTCATTGCTCTGACTGTCCCTCTCTGTTTGGAACATGTCCCTGCATGGGCAAAATAGGAGATAGTGTTCTTAGTGAGGGAAATAGAGTAATGAATTGAACGTTATATACAAGTGTCATTCTCTGGTCCATAGTGCCTTCTCCACTTTGATCGAGAGGAAATCTGGTATATATTTGGTGTGGGAATTTTGTGTCACAGCCAGGACTTTCTGCATTACGTAGACCCTTTCTCTGCAAAGATTGAAGGAGAATCATGCAATGACACTCTCTGTATAAAATATATTCCTAAAATCTCAGGACTCTTTCTTGTGTTGCTGGAATTCACAATTCTGTTTTTCTTGCACATTAGCCTGAGATTCCTCTTGGACAGTCACAAAGGTGCATACAAGACTATGGCAATCCAGAGCCCTCTTAGGACCAGAGCATCAAGTCTGGGTAAATGTTTGAGCATTTCAATTATCTCTGCTTTGGAAACTTTATTAAAGCCAAGAGGAAATAAGGACACCAGAGTGGGATAATTCATTAAGCAGTGATGAGCCCAGCACATGACACTTCTCTTCTAGGCTCCCTTTCCCAGAAAAGCTTGGATCAGATGATCCTTTCTGGCCCAACCTGGGGATTTTTGACTCTAAGATTCCACACCTATAGTCTAAGCAGAAATATCCAATAAAATAGAAGGAAGAAAACAAGGTGTGGTGAGGTTTTTAAATGAAGCTCTCTGATATCAAAGGTCTCTGTCCTGCCAAGCTTTATAGCCTTTAATTTTATAGGCTCTGGCTCCTTCATTGACTGAAGCTAGAAGCTATGTTTCCCTCACACCTAAGACAATGTTCCCTTTCATACCGTTGTTTTTCTGAGCACATAAAAATTCTGTTCACCATCCATATACTTTCCCAATATACGTTAATTCTCACTCACAACACCTAAAAGAAAGATATTCCCCCCCATCAGTGTGTTTTGGCTTTATTGAGACCCAGACAGCTCTCAGTTACCATCGATTCTGTGTTCAGGTTTATTTTTCATCTATCGAAGCTTCCTACAAACTTAATTCTTATATGAAATAGACAATTTGGTTTTCCTGGTGTGCTTGAGCATGAGCAAGGCATGGACATGGGATATGGGTGTTTATAGAATCATAGAATCGTTAGGGCTGGAAAGGACCTTAAGATCATCCAGTTCCAACCCCCTGCCATGGGCAGGGACACCTCACACTAAACCAGGTCACCCAAGGCCTCGTCCAACCTGGCCTTGAACACTGCCAGGGATGGAGCATTCACAACCTCCCTGGGCAACCCATTCCAGTGCCTCAGCACCCTCACAGGAAAGAATTTCCTCCTTAGATCCAATCTAAACTTCCCCTGTTTCAGTTGGAACCCGTTACCCCTTGTCCTGTCACTGCAGTCCCTAATGAAGAGTCCCTCCCCAGCATCCCTATAGGCCTCCTTCAGATACTGGAAGCTGCTCTGAGGTCTCCCCGCAGCCTTCTCTTCTCCAGCCTGAACAGCCCCAACTTCCTCAGCCTGTCTTCATACAGGAGGTGCTCCAGCCCCTGAGCATCCTCGTGGCCTCCTCTGGCCTTGTTCCAACAGTTCCATGTCCTTTTGATGTTGAGGACACCAGAACTGCACACAATGCTCCAGGTGAGGTCTCACAAGAGCAGAGCAGAGGGGCAGGATCACCTCCTTGGACCTGCTGGTCACGCTGCTTTGGATGCAGCCCAGGACACGGTTGGTTTCTGGGCTGCAAGCGCACACTGAAGCCGGCTCATGTTCATTTTCTCATCAACCAACACCCCCAAGTCCTTCTCCTTGGGCTGCTCTGAATCTCTTCTCTGCCCAACCTGGGCAATCCCCTGGGCCTGGGATTGCTCCGACCCAGGTGTAGGACCTTGCACTTGGCATGGTTAAACTCCATGAGGTTGGCATCAGCCCACCTCACAAGCGTGTCGAGGTCCCTCTGGATGGCATTCCTTCCCTCCAGGGTATCAACCGAACCACACATCTCGGTGTCATCAGCAAACTTGCTGAGGGCGCACTCAATCCCACTGTCCATGGCAGCGATGAAGATGTGAAACAAGACCGGTCCCAGCCCCAATCCCTGAGGGACACCACTCATTACTGGTCTCCAGCTGGACACTGAGCCATTGACCACAGCTCTTTGCGTGCGGCCATCCAGCCAGTTCTTTATCCACCGAGTGGTCCATCCATCAAATTGATGTCTCTCCAATTTAGAGACAAGGATGTCGTGTGGGACAGTGTCGAACGCTTTGCACAAGTCCAGGTAGATGACATCAACTGCTCTACCCCTGCCCATCAGTTCTGTAGCCCCATCAGAGAAGGCCACCACATTGGTCAGGCAGGATTTCCCCTCAGTGAAGCCATGCTGGCTGTCACCAAGCACCTTGTTGATTTTCATGTGCCCTAGCATGCCTGCCAGGAGAATCTGCTCCAAGATTTTGCCAGGCACAGAGGTGAGACTGACTGCTCTGTAATTCCCCGGGTCATCCATTTTCCCCTTCCTGAAAATGGGGGTTATATTTCCCTTTTTCCAGTCATCGGGAACTTCACCTGACTGCCAGGATTTCTCAAATATGATGGCCAGCGGCTTCGCAACTTCATTCACCAGCTCCTTCAGGACCCGCGGATGGATCTCATCAGGACCCACGGACTTGTGCACGTTCACATTTTTAAGATGGTCTCGAACCAGTTCCTCTCCTACAGTGGGCCCAAGGTCTTCATTCTCACAGTCCCTGCATCTGCCTTCCAAGACTTGGGTGGTTTGGTCAGAGCCTTTGCCAGTGAAGACCGAGGCAAAGAAGTCATTCAGAATCTCAGACTTCTCCAAATTCCGTGTAGCCAGTTCTCCTGAGAGCTTCCTGAGGGGGCCTGCATTCTCCCTAGTCTGTTTTTTGTTTGCTATGTACCTGTAGAATCCCTTCCTGTTATCTTTAATACCTCTAGCTAAGTTTAATTCTAACTGGGCCTTAGCTTTCCTAACCTGGTCCCTAGCTTCCCGGACAACATCCCTGTACTCTTCCCATGCCACCTGCCCTTGCTTCCACTTATTATAAGCCTCTTTTTTCAATTGAATTTTCCTCAGGAGCTCCTTATCCATCCAAGGAGGTCTCCTGGCCCTCCTGCTGCACTTCCTTCTGGTTGGGATGCAACACTCCTGAGCTTGCAGCAGGTGATCCTTGAATATCAACCAACAGTCTTGGGCCCCTCTGCCCTCTAGGGCTGTATCCCATGGAACCTACCAAAGCAGGTTCCTGAAGAGGCCAAAGTCTGCTCTTTTTTATCTCCATTTATGGAATTCCATTTATGTCACCATTTACGTAAAAGGTCATTTCACATGAATGTAAAACACCCCTTAAAGGCAATGAGAGGATCCTTTGATGTGCCCAAATTGTCCTTCACAGTGGGTGGTCTCAGCACAGTTCATCACCATGTATTATGAATTATATTGCTGTGTCAGTGACACCAGATAATGGTCCATGGTGAAACACACAAAAATAGAAAAGTACTGTTTGTTCATGGTGGCTCCTCCCCGGAAAGTCCTCCTTTGGCTCCTCTCTGGAAGATCCCACTTTGCCTGATCCCTGGAAAAGTCCCAACCCTGGGAGACCTGTCTAGATATTGCTGGCCACTTCTTCCAATGGAGGCTGGACCCCCACATCAGAATGAGTGCGCATTCTTGCTAGTACAAAAGCCAGAGCCTCATGCGATGCAGGGAGGCAGAACCTCATACCACCCGGTCAGCGTTGTCTTTGCAGGGACGCCTGCTAAGGTTGAGCCTGCCACCTCGCACTGCAATGACGTTTCTCAGGGCCGGATTCCTGATCATCATTACATGGTCTTTGGGGTTGGTAAGATAACCAGCCATCAGAATTATCCTTTATGTATCTTATCTCTATATTTTCCCTGTATTAATAAACTTGCTGTGATTCATTACTGTGTAGCATTTCTCTCAACCCGGAATCCTCAAACTCTGGAACAATTGCCTACAATAGCTTTCTTTAAGTGAAATCTCTTGTGAAGCTGCAGCCTGGGGAGGGATTCCCCTTGACATTTTAAGGTGCAGCTTGAGATCTTGATTCCCACCAACTTCTCTTTGAAAGGCACAAACAAATGCAATGAATCTTTTGAAACCTTTTCTCTGACTCTTTTTCAGCAAGCAAATGTAAAACTACACTTCCTCTTCCCTCCCACCCCAGCAGCTTTAATAAAGAACTCACAGGTAAGAGGGAGGAATTTTATTGGAGCTGAGGGACAAGGTCAAGAACCTTGTAAGAAAAATAGATATTTATCAGTGACAAAAGCTATAACTGGGTAAAGCTGATTGGTGTTTTCTGTGAGGAAAAGAGGCCTGAGATAATTGAGGGTGATTTCTTCCTGCAGGCTGGTGACTGAGAAGAGAATTGAAATTTGAGGCTTAGTCTCCTTCTGGTTTTCTTCCAAGAACGGTGTGATTTTAGGGGCCTGTTTCTCATTCAATACTGTCATTGACTTTTGTGTAGGAAGTGTGGAAGAATCTACATCAAATCATGGGGAGTATTGGAAAAAAATGTTTTAGTGTACCATAGGCTTTCTCAGTTGACATGAACTGTGCCTGTGCTAGATGATAGAACTTTCTTAGGTTGCCAGTGGTTGAAGAGCCTGCTCCTGCACTTCACCAGAGCCCCCTTCACCTCCTTGTTCCTCAGGCTGTAGATGAATGGGTTAAGCATGGGGGTGATGATGGTATAGATGATGGAGGCGGCCTTATCGCGGCTCCTGTGGCTAGATGGAGGTTGTAGGTACATGAAGAACTTTGTACCAAAGAAGGAGGCAACAGCCACCAAATGGGAGGCGCAGGTGTGGAAGGCTCTGGCCCTGCTCTGTGCTGAGCACTCCCTCAGCACGGTGCAGAGGATAGAGATGTAGGAGAGCAAAATGATCATGCTAGTGCCCACCACGTTGATGGTGATGAAAGCAAAGATGACCATCTCACTGCTGTGAGTGTCAGAGCACACGAGCTTCAGCACAGGAACTTCATCACAGAAGAAGTGGTCAATGCGGTTGGGACCACAGAAGGAACCTCCAAACACGCACCATGTGTAGATGATGGCACTGAGGAAGGCGAATAGGTAGGATGATGCTATCAGCTGCCAGCAGATGTGGCTGGAGATGATGGTCACATAAAGCAGGGGCTGGCAGATGGCAACGTGCCGGTCGTAGGCCATCATGGCCAGGAGGTGACACTCAATAGTACTAAAAAAAGCAAAGGTGAGGAACTGCATCATGCAGGCAGTGAAAGAAATGGTTTTGTCCTCTGATAACAGGTCTGCCAGCATCCTGGGGGAGATGACTGTGGAATAGCAGATGTCAGTGAAGGCAAAATGGGTGAGGAAGAAGTACATGGGGGTGTGGAGGCTGGGAGACACCCGCACCAATGTGACAATGCCAACGTTCCCCACCAAAGTGACAATGTAAATCAATAGAAACAAGACAAAAAGAGGAGTCTGTGCATATGGGTTGTCTGTAATTCCCAACAGGATGAATTTAGTCTGGGTGTGATTTCCTCCCATGACCAGGTGGTCCCTGCTGAGGCAAAAGGAAGAGAAACATCAAACTGATCAAAAATGGAGATTCAGATCTGGACCACATCTATCTCCAATCAATGACCACTACACCTGCCACACATTAGATTATTCTCATATATTTTCTAACCAAAATTATATGCAGATATTATGTTTTTCAGATGAGGTAATCAGAAAAGAACAGGTACTTTGCTGAAGCAGTAAATGGCATTTGTATTTTTCTGTGGTGGGACAATTAACGTTGGCTTTAGTCAAGCATGTGTGTTTTCAGGTTTGAGCAAAGAATCAGATCTTTAATCACTTTCAATTTGAAGGAAATCTGTGTCAGAAGACACCTCAGAGGATCCTCATAGGATTGCACGTAAACGTGAAGCAAGAGAATTTCTCAGTAACAGTGAAAGCCCAGCTTACACATGCATGACCTCCAGACATTTCCCTTTGGTTTTTGATTATCATTCCTGTCACCAAATCACATTTAACAAACTATTTGAGATCATTAACAACAAATAACATTGACTTTGTTAAATTCATATGTACCTTCCTGAACTCCAGCACGATAAAGCATCCTAAACCTATGGGCATTCAGTTTCTTGCTTTAAAAATGAGTTGCTGTTATAACAAGCTGATTCTAAAGGCTGATTTGTTAGTGACTATATTCTGATGACAACATGAACTGTTGCATTTCTATATAACAGAATAAGATTCATCATTTAACTCTTGAATAAATCAATGTATCTGGCTTAAGCTGCCTAGGCAAAAGAAATACAACCTGCATCAGACATTGCTCCATATTATTATAAAGAAAACCCACACTGGTAAGGTTGTTTTCTGACAAAGCTTTACCACAGATTACACGAGGACATGCAGAAAAAGCCCACTGCCTAAGTGCAGGTGAGGCTCTGCTTTGTGCTGGTGTTACCTCCTGTGCCTTCCCTCTGCCACCGAGTGATGGGAGCCAAGGATTTATCCCCAACGCAGCAGAGAACATCTACGTGCCGGCATCAGCTCTGTTAAGCACCTGATGTGAAGAGAGGGGAGCTCCTGCCAGACTCCAAGAGCCCAGCTTGTGGTGCTGGGGCTGTAAATACAGTTGCATGTGCTCTCCTGGGAGGAAGCCTCCAGGGCTGCTCATGATTTACCACAGGAAAACAAAGAGAAGGAAAAGCAAAGGGTGTGAAATCACCTCTGAAAGGCATTGTGGTGCTTGGGCATCTGAGAGACATGGAGTGGGTGAGCCATGCCTGAGCACAGCTGCACAGCAGCAGTGATGAGCAGCTCATAGGATGCTTCTGACATACTTGTGGACCATGCAAATGTTTTGGTCTGACCATACTGACACAATGAAAATGGGTTTGGAGACATTCCAGATCTTGCACACGGTCCTCAAATGGGACATGAAGAACAAGTGACTCCATCTCTGGAGCTGCTGATGTCCCTCTGTGGAGGGTGAACCCAGTTTTCCAGCCCCAGTGGGGTTACCCGCATGTAGTGTCTGGATGTCCAACAGCTGAGCTGGTGCCTCTGGACTTCCACTGAATTCAAGGGTGAAAAACTGGCATGTTGAGGCAGGGAGGAATTGTCCCAGGCTGAACTACTAGGCCTTTATCCCCCTGAGCAGCCTCAGCTGGGGCTCCATCCCCACCCTCTTCCTATTCTTCCCCATCTCTATTTAAGCTTAGAACAGGCAGATTGAGCTTTATTAGAGCAGTTCTGGTTTCCAGTTTAGTAGGAGCTCAGCACACCTATGCAATCTTTTGGTGGTCACCTAGGGTTTCTCATCTGTCTTGCTCACAATTTTTTCACCTGATCCCAAAAAAGGGACTGACTCAACCTGACTTGGTTTGGTCTTGAATCTGCCTCCTCATCACCAGCTTTCCTGATGCTCTGGAGCTGTGGTTGAACTTGGCCCAGGTCTGTGTTCATGCCCTGCTTCTCTTGCTCAGGTACCGTGGGATGGTCCCTGCACACCAGGGTGTTCTCCTTTGGTTCTGTTTAGACAGATAAAGGAGACAAACCCCTGTGGCAGTCCCCAGGCTCCTGCAGAGTAGAACCCATCACCCTCTGCACCTGACAGCCCAGCCAGTGCTCACTGCTCTGGCAGTCCCTCTCCATCCAGAGCATGTCCCTACATGAGCAAATTAGGAGGTAGCTTTTCAGTGATGAAAAGTAGAGTAACAAATTGATCCTTACATTCAAGTGTTGTTATCTTTTCCTTAGTGCCTTTTCCTTTACCAAGTATAACATTAGACTTTCAGTCTTCAGCAGATTGGCAACACTTTGGTTTGGAAGTATCTTTGGGATGATGTTTATCTGCTGGTTTTGTGACAGAGGACACCAGAGCTTCACTGACACCAGGGATCCAGGTGATAGCTTAAAACCTGCATTGTGCAAACTCCAGCACCTCACTGCACACCATGGGGCAGGATGAAGGATGCTGGGGCTCTGCAGGAAACAAGGGACATTCTCATATGGATGCTGATGGCTTCTGCCACTGGTGGTACCCTGGTGGTGGAGGCACTGGGTAAGGGCTGAAATCCCCCTATGCTCTGCATGGAGCTGGCTCCAAACTGGGACTCAGCTTTCAATTCTTTGGGATCAGTGCTTAAATCCTTCCTATAGCCATCATAGCGGAGAAGAGAGCCTCTGCCCTCCATGTGCTGCAGGGTGGCCACAGGGACTCTGTGATCAGTGAGAGGATTTGGGACCAGGACTGATGCAAAGCAAGGAGGGACCATCTCCTCACATCTCCCCTGTACCCATCACATCTCTACACATTCATACACATATCCCATGCCCTGGAGGACTGACTCAGTCCCATTCATCTCCCACTGTCAGCCAGGCTGTGGCTGTGGTCGTGGTATTGAACAGGGAGATGAGGAGGTGAGAGAGGCAGAGTTGACAACAGGAGGAGAATGGAGGGGCCTCATCCGCAGCATCGCACTGTGTCCTGCAGCTCCTATGAATGGTTTTACTGCTGGAGAGAGAAGGAAAGGGGAGGATGTGGCTCTGGAAGGGGTTGGAACCCCAAATGATGCCCAGATTGTGGGGGTTTGCTCCCAGTGTGCACTGCCAGGGGATCTGGATGATCTCTGGTGGGAATCCGTGTGACATGCACTTTCCTTTCATGTTTGGCTGTAGAAGGAGGTTCCCCACAACCCCCATGAAGGCTTTAACCTGTCAGAGGGGAGACTGAGATGAGCTCTTAGGCAGAAGCTCTTCCCTGGGAGGGTGCTGAGGCACTGGCACAGGGTGCCCCGAGAAGCTGTGACTGCCCCATCCCTGGCAGTGTTCAAGGCCAGGTTGGACACAGGGGCTTGGAGCAAGCTGCACCAGTGGAGAGGGTCCCTGCCTGTGGCAGGGGTTGGAGCTGGATGAGCTTTAAGGTCCCTTCCAACACAAACCAGGCTGGGATTCTGTGATGGGCTTGGGAGCATCCATCAGAGCCACCAGCGACAGGGGCAACCCTAAAGCACCCTTCAGAAGGGCCTTTTTCCCCTGTTGCTGCCCATTTCAGTCCTTTACCACACTCCTCACTGTTCCTCCCCATCTCCTTCCTTCCACTTTTGGGCACCGCTCCCTCAGGCTCTCCTTTGTCTCTTGTGCTTCCAGCATGATGGGTGGAAGAAGGTGAATGTCATCATCGAGGAGAGCACAAGGACTGGGGCTGCCTTGGTCCCCAGTGGGATAAAGATCCAAATTCCCCAGGAAGCCCTCTCCAGGCAGAGGAAGGACAGGAGGGTGACCATGAGCAGCCAGCACAGAGGTACCAAGGCCAAGTCACGCCTGACCAACCTGAGTGCCTTGGGTGATGTGAGCATTGATGTTTGCATGGACAAGAAGTAGAGGACAGCATTTACCTCACCGTTAGCAAGGTCACCACGATCTTCTGTTGGCTCCTTTGCAGCCAAACTTGTGAGCTATGGTTTGAGTACAAGGAATTGAAGATGGGTGGAAACCTGGTTCATTGCCTGTGGTGCTGGGATTGCTGATGGACCCTGGTACCAGCTCCCATTGGCGAGGTTCCCCTCATCTCCCTGCCATGATAATGTCAACCATGGCCCTTGTGAAGCTGTAACTGCCTCAGAAATGCTCCAAAAGTGGATGTCAAAGGTGGGCTTGTTCTGTGCTTTGCTCTAAGGGAGCCCAAAGCCCTGTTGCTTGCTCAAGCTGAGGTCATCTCCTCTGGGTACATTTCTTCTCCAAACTAATCAACACAGAGAAGAGATAATGACCTGCTTTGGGCTTTGTCACCTCCTGGGGCCAAAGAGATTCACAGTCCCACATCCCCACATCACTTGAAATAGGAAGGGGGTTTGCTGATGCTGGTTCATTCCCAGGCTCCCTGCACAGCTCCAGGCACGTTCATCTTCACATCCATCTCCGAGAGCATGAGGAGGGCAGCAGAGACAGAGCTGAGATGTAAGTGAGGGGCAGCATCTTTCAGCCCATCATTCTCCTGTGGTTCTCTCTTGCCAACAAGCAGCAGCTCCTGTCTCCATTTCCTGTCCTACTGCAGGGTCGTGGGCTTCTTGATGATGCTCTGGGCTTCCCAGGGAGCTGCTTGTGCTGTGTGCTCTCCATGCTGCTGCTGAGAAGGCAGGTTTGGAGATCACCCTGGTGGAGAATACCCTCAGGAGGTTTCCTCACCTCTGAGCACAAAGGTTTCCTGGATGAGCACCAGAAGCTTTCCTGTACAGGACATTCAGGGTGCTCCCCATTGCTGAGATGAGGCAGCTCCAAAAGATGATTTTTTTTTCCCCCAAAGCATGTGTTCAAGAAAAGATTTCTTGAACCCTATTTCTACTGAAGACTCAAGGAACAGGTTAAAGAACCATGAAAAGGTTTTAGATCTGACAGAGTGTGTCAGGAGGGAGGGGAAACCTATATTAACCACTGTGTAAGGTTGCATAGGATCATAGTATGTCTTGTGTTGGAAGAGAGCTTAAATCTCACCCAGTTCCAAGCCCCTGTGATGGCAAGGGACACCTTCCACTAGAGCAGGTTGCCCTGTCCAACCTGCACTTTCAATAGGTCAGGAATTCGTTCCAGTTAGGAAGAAACCAAAGCAGAGAGGGAAGAAGCAGGTGGTTGGCAAATGCCCATGACAGGATGAAGGATCAACTCTGCACTGTGAAAGCATCACGCTTCTCTATGTTCCAGGTTGAGCCGGATGGTCTCCAAGCCCCAGGCTCAGCACTAACGAAGGCGATGAAGTGCAGCACTAAGGCAAATCTACTCGGGTGAGTGGAACCTCCCCACTGATTTCCAAAGTGGTCATTGCTCAACATCTCAAGGTGAGCCAGAGGAGCAGGCACCATGTTGTGCCATGGTGTTTAACTGCTTGAGCACCCCTTTGTTCTACCTGTGCTGGCACAGGACTTTCACCAACCTGTTCCTCATTGATCTGTGCCTGAACTCTCCCTTTCCATCCTGCAGGACTGTCTCTGAGCAGCTCCCACCACACAGAGGCTTTTCCACCTGGGACATCCCTGCCTCTTGGAGAAGAAACCTCCAGCCAGGAGCTCACCCACAAAGCACCATCCAGCCCATGGCACAAAGCAATTGCACCCAAGTGACCGAGTTCAGCCTGGCGGGCTTCACAGAGGACCCGGTGACTCAGGTCTACTTGTTCCTGCTCTTCCTGCTCACCTACCTTGTCACCATTGTGGGCAACCTGGGCATCATCATCTTAATCAGGGCCAGCCCCCACCTCCACTCCCCCATGTATTATTTCCTGGGCAACCTGGCCTTTGTAGACCTCTGTTCTTCCACTGTCATCACCCCCAAGATGTTGGTTGACTTGATGTCAGAGAAGAAGAGCATTGCTTATGCTGGGTGTGTGGCTCAGGTCTTCCTCTTTCAGCTTCTTGGGATAACTGAATGCTTCCTGCTGGCTTCGATGGCCTATGACCGTTACGTGGCCATTTGCCATCCCCTGCTGTACCCCCTTGTCATGTCCCCAAAGTGCTGTTTCCAGCTGGTGACTGGCTCGTACCTCATGGGGCTGACCAATGGTGTGGGACAGACCATCAGCATGTCCACCCTGTCCTTCTGCAGCTCCAGCACCATCGACCTCTTCTTCTGTGACATTTCCCCTCTCATCTCACTCTCCACCTCTGACACCACCCTCAGCCACATCATCCTGACCACTGCAGCATCTCTCTTTGGTGTGTCCAGCAGCCTGGTTATCCTGCTCTCCTACGTGGCCATCATCGCCACCATCCTGAGCATCAATTCAGCCGAGGGCAAGCGCAAAGCCTTCTCCACCTGCACCTCCCACCTCACCACTGTCAGCATCTTCTATGGGGCATCCTTTTTTATGTATTTATTCCCCAGCTCTCACAGCTCAAGAGCAGCAGATAAATGGGCTGTGGTGCTCTACACCGTGGTGACTCCCATGCTGAACCCCTTGATCTACAGCCTGAGGAATAAGGAGGTGAAGGAGGCTTTGAGGAGACTCTTGAAAATAAAATGATCTTGAATTCTCCCAGTATAGGACCAGATAGAATGGAGATGTAGAGGGTAGATGCTCAGCTTTTGGTTAAGTATGGATAACATGTTGGGGGTCATCTGCACCCAGCCTTACGTGATGCACTGCTTGATGTGA